TTTAATTAAATGATGAATTACTTGCTACTGATATCTTTCTCACTTTTGAATTTGAATTCGATTCATATAGCTAAATGCATGGAGTATTGAATATTGTATGCATAGGAAATACACAAAAAAGTTAATTTGTTCATCAATTTTTTAATTGGATCGATGTTGGTTTGTATTTTCTTATCTCAGTTGATACATTCGTGAGGGCTTTGCACACTCTTCTCTGTCCTTTCCCCCGCATTAGTAGAGTGATTTTTATTTGGATCAATTTCTTTTGCTAGGTAAAATTTACTACTACAGTTCAATTTGGTCACTATTTACCATGATCCAAGAGTTCCAACTGAAAATTGCAGGTCTTCAAGATTTTGCTTCATTGTTTGAATTCATTATTGTACGAGGAATTCCATTCTTGCAAAATTTTTGAACATGCAAATTTGGATTTATAATCTACTATTATGACTAAAGCCTGCACTATGTAACTTTACTGCAATTTCTCGTATTTGAGTAATCGAGCTTGAGATGCTTTACATTATATTTTTCATGATTTCACTGCAATCCATGATAATCCCCTGAAAATCTCTCTTTTAGATGTGGACTCGTTAACCTTTTTTTTTTTATCTCAACTAATCTATGAAGGGACAATCATGGAGATTGGGAAAGAGAATCCAGATATATTTTTTAACAGACCGTGAAGGAAGAAGAAATACTGGAATGCCTATCTTGGGGCATGATAAAAGAACGAATACTAAAAGGAAAAAGTGCTATAGAGGTATTACATTATCAATTATTTTTGGTACTTGTCATCTCTTTTATTCTGAACAAAATTTTAAAATTTATCAATGTTTTTCTTTATTTCAATTGTAACTCATAGTCCAAGCCTCATTTGTTTCAGGGCATGATTAATGTTCAGTTGCAAAATTGATTTTTCATATTCATAAATTTCATGTGGGCGTGACCAAAGCATGGTAGTCATCTTTTATTTCTTTCTCATGTGCTGGGATACACAGGCCCTTTAATACTCTCAGCTTAGTATTGTCCTTTGTAACTTACCTTTATTAAATTGAACATGCTTAATCTCTTCTGATATATTTAAATCTGGTTGTGTC